GGCGTAGCCGGGCGAACCCATAAGAAGGAGGGAAGCCCGGCGTTAACCGGGCGGCCCGACTGGTTGAATTAATAAATCGTTCCACCTAACAGCCTCGCAAGGCACAAGAGTATTTGAATAAGAAAACGGAGCATTTCTGTCAGGGTGTTTTTTGTTTCTATAACGTTTGAACAGGAGAGAGGAACAGTAGGCATTGCAACCGTGTGATTTGGTGAGGAAATCAAAGGCGTCAATCTACCCAAGGTAACTGATATTGAGGGCTTATGTTGGATCATATCGACCACGACATTTCTGCAGAGCGAGAACATGAAATCACTCAACAATTCTACGAACATCTTAAACTGGATAGAATTGCCCTCCGAACTCGAGACCATGCCTCAAAATCAATCTTCTCCACATCGAGGCTTTGGCACGGTTCTAAGTATATTACCTCGTAATGTTGAAGTGCTCAACGCAGCAGTGTATTTAACTTTAACCCATTGTTTTGAACCAATTTGGAACAGAAAAACGAATTTCCTTCTCCGTAAAATCGGGATACCTTGCGGCGAGCGCTATAGCAAGTTGGCCGGCCCAAGCAAATTTGGTAATTAATACAATGTTCAGAAACAGGGGCACTGGGTCCTGACTGTGAATTACTTTGCTGATCCGTCAATGTCCTATCATTATTACTGATCAACTCCGTATCCCAATTTTGTGTTAAGGGTGTTTGACCCAGCGGTGGATGCTGTCGAATTATCGAACTTCATTCATTCTATTCAGCACACAAGTTTGTGAAGCCGATTCGTTCTCCAAGGAGTTATGACAAAGGTCTGATCAGTCTCTGCCGGCAATAAGTGGTAGGGAAAGAGTAGCAATAGAAATTTGTGAGACACATTGAAATAAGAAAACAGAAACGACAAAATAATAGTGCAGTCAGAAGAAGTCGCGATGAAGCGCTGCCTTCAGAATATTTTGAGCTTCTCTTAAGAGACACAACGATCAAAATTGTACGAGGATAAGGAAATTACATTTGAAAGCAACGATGTGAATAGGAAAAGAGGTGTACCAGGAGTATCTCTTGACTGATGGACAGCACTCCCCTACAGGCGGGCTCGAATACATGGTCAACAGGCATTCAGAATCACTGTTCAAAAATGTTGTCCCATTGAGAGAAGAACTCGTTCAGTTCCGTATAGCTCTCGTCGAAAAACGATTCCACGTCGTCTTCTTCGAAGGGTATCACACTTTTATCTGCTTCCAAAGTCGTACCTGCAAACACTACTCTTTTCAACGGGCTTAATCACAATCATTAATCAATAGTTGATCATCAATCCCAATGTGATCACATAACCCAATGATTCCCAATGATTAAAAAAAAGAAAACTTGCAATGGGCCTTCACAATTTCGAATGACAAAAAGATCATTTGCTTCCATTTTTTTGAAACTTTTTCCAAAATAACATTGCAAACTAAAACCTTGAGTTCATAGGCTATAGATGGGCAGCAATCACAACGGCGACTCGTTGATTTTAGCGCAGTGAATTATTAAGACTTTAGGTCAACCTTCTAAAAGCATTCAACTTAGTAACTATGCACACACAATATCTCTGCCTATGTGTGTGGGAATTTTTGCCTATTCGTTTGCCTCGTGATTTCATAATCCCGACATTACCCGTTTTGGTTCGCACAATATCGAAGTGGATATGGAATAAGATAATGGGATGAAGAGCACGTCGATAAGCTTATGTCATGCTCAATGCCAAGGGTACTCACAGTCACAATAACTGGATTCTCGTGGGTTAATCACCGTTCTCTATCATAAGTTTTCAGCCACGCGCTATATTTACTGAGCAGACAAGATCGGTTCAGATTCATCTATGAATGTTTCATTTGGTGTTTATTTTTTGGCCAGTAATTGGAAAGTAACAAGTTTGACTATCGGAAGAAGTCACACATTAACAAAGACTCATCCCAAATACAAGTACGCCCCTCATCCCCTGCCCCGGTACAATTTTTCCCATAATCCCACATCCAAAGCAAGATGCATCAACTGGAGCAACCCGGACTACCCACTAATAACAAATCATCATCTGAGGTAAAAGTCCAGATACATGCGGATGACATAAAGATCTACGCCGCCTACGATGGCTCTAATAAAAAAGGAAGTGCAAGCAGCATTAAAGCTTTCTATTACGAGACTGGTGGATTGGGCTGCCGCATGGGGGTATTAATAAATATCAACAAATGCAAAGCCCTTCATCTAGGTGATGCAGTACAGAAAGAGCTTAAAATAAATGGCACTATCTGGTAACTGTACATGTGTAAAAGATCTAGGTTTATTACTACAGTCTGATTCAAAGTTCACAGCCCACATTGATAGAATGACAAAGAAGCGTTCTCTGCTCTCTTTACGATATTCCGAGACACCCAGATGAAGGAGTCCAAGGTACTTCTGCGCTTATATAAGGTCTACGTTATTACATCATCTAGATTATGTATTGCTCTCAGCTATGGCATCCCAATCTCAAGAGAGAGATCACCAGGCTAGGTAAAGACTAACGTACTTTTACCAGCTTTACCAGTTACTCTCACCTTGGAGGCTACCCAGAAACTGCCCCATTTAATATTCCGAATAACGAAGAACGAATGAGATGGGTAGGGCTGGCGAGTTCAAATAACATGAAGTTGGCTACCTCACCCTAAGGTTCCGAATACACAGACATGAAGCCAGGTTGAAACCCAGCAACTATTTGGTACCCTAGAGGTTTGGTATATATCCTTAACGAACTCATAAGAAATTTCGTTTGCTTACGTAACACATATGTTTCTATCGCACGGCTGGAGACTTTGAAAAATTGGAAACCGGGTTCTTCGGAGCATTGAATGGTAAGAAGGTTTATAAAAAAAGGATGAAGACTTGATGTTACCGATGTTATAAGCTCTGAAATCTGTCTAGAGTGATCAATTTAGATATTGCTGCAGTGAACTCCTATTAATAAAACTATCAAAGGGATTGTCAACATTATCTTTCTCATACATGTTGTCTGTAAAGACGGAATAGAATGACGTTGCATGCATCACATTCTTCTCTAAGTGTTTTTCTCTTTAACTGGTCATTGAGAATTAAGGACTGAATTCCTACACATAATATCACGGATTACGTCTGGCTAGAACCTGGCTTACCTGTTCCACGGGATTTGTCGGTATAGTCGTGTACCGAAGTAAGGCAAACTCCTCCATGTGATTGAGAAATTGCCGACTGGGATGAGTATTGGACTTGAATGCCAACCTCGGCCGGTCCAGGTTAAAGGGTCTTCACCGCAATTCTGGCCTTTTATTTGGGTCTTGTATTCATTTGGTGTACTTATGGTCTTATGCTTAAATTAGGGCGATAATAGTTGCTAGGTCTTCTCACTATACTGTAACTTACATAGTTATTCGAAAGTGACTAAACTCTTCACAGCAAACCACAATAATGGTTATCATCACCCTTTGAAGAAAAGTCGAATTGCACGCATAATTAAATAAATAAAATGTGAGAAATTTAAATTTTTAAAAGCTCTACGACAAAAACCAGTTTTGAAAATGAAAAATATGTACAAGTTGTAGTACGACATGATATAAATTCATAGAATCTTCAAGAAAAATTTCGGTGTAAAAAAAACTGCGTCACTCATTTACCAAAGAGGAGCTGGAGAAATAACATAGGAATAGAAAAGGATTAAGATTCAAATAACTTTCTGGACACCCAGAGTCATTTAAAAGAGCAGGCCAGATAATGGACTCCTTTCGGTCAACATATGGGAGGTGGTGTTACATTCACCTCTAGAAATTGATGTACTACGTATTTTCAGTTCTGGGCGACTGAAGTGGCAGGTCAAGAGCCTCAGTGGGCTAACGGCCGGCACCTTGATAACACTGCAGTGATCGTATGCGAATTATATGTATTTATTGTACTTGCACCTAAACTTTACTATTGTTACCTATGTAAACTGCATGTTTTAGTCATCAATTGGTCGCAGAATTCTTAGTAGACTTGGATGGTCATGTGATTGACATTCACGCTCGTGTACATTAGCAAATAAGGGGCAGTGTGAAACACGTTGGCGCTGAAATTGTGGTTGGTCTAGTCACCACTGACACCGAACTTTAGAGCGACCACTATGAACACCATTTCGGTACGATATTTTGATCGAATGCTTTCATCACATAATTACACTCGAAATATTATTAGGGAATAAACATGAGTTTCAATTTTTGTTGCCATGTAAGAGTGATGCCGTCCAAGGCTAATCACTGTAAAATTGCATGCACGTACTACTATTCTATTCTTGACTTTTTTCAAAAACATAAGTGAGCAGCACAAAATAATATAAGTTTGTTGTGAATGATCCCATCAAAAGGGATACTCTCTAGAAAATTAATGGTAAAGAAGAAAGCGCTCCTACTTTTGTCATCCTTCTTGTGCAAAGAGCTTGCGATAAATGATGGAAGAGGAAATAAGTTTGACGAGACACCGTGACACTCTGGATCGAAACATTTCTGATAGAATTCGTTCCTGAAGAGATAGGTGAGCGGAAAATGAATCAAAAACGAGTGCTGATAAACAACCCAGAAGTCTGTTCCCCAACAGCACAGTGATGAAAATAAATGCAGAACGACAAAGCAAGAATACTCGGCGATTCCTTTCTCAGTGTTCCCACCAAAAATTTACAGTTACATTGCTAAGTCAC